TTCTGTGTTTAAAAAAAAAACGTTTCATTAAAGTTAAAATTTAACTTAAGCCAGGAAATATTTTTATATTGTTTGGGTGGAAGTATAAACACATTTGAAACTAAAGCCCTTTTAGTGTCTGTCTAGCTTGTAATTTCAAGCAATACCTCAAAAATTTTCCAGCTATTCCAATCAGTACACCAAGTATTCTCTAACAAAGGCAACCAGTACCTCAGGTATTCTTTAAAATACTTTATGCATTCTCCAACAGGTATTTGCTAGCAGTACAATTCTGTACTCCAAGTATTTTCTAACAGTACAATTCAGTACTCCAAGTATCGTCTAACAGTACAATTCAGTACTCCAAGTATTGTCTAACAGTACAATTCAGTACTCTGAGTATTGTCTAACAGAACAATTCAGTACTCCAAGTATCGTCTAACAGTACAATTCAGTACTCCAAGTATCGTCTAACAGTACAATTCAGTACTCCAAGTATTGTCTAACAGTACAATTCAGTACTCTGAGTATTGTCTAACAGAACAATTCAGTACTCCAAGTATCGTCTAACAGTACAATTCAGTACTCCAAGTATCGTCTAACAGTACAATTCAGTACTCCAAGTATTGTCTAACAGTACAATTCAGTACTCCAAGTATCGTCTAACAGTACAATTCAGTACTCCAAGTATTGTCTAACAGTGCACATAGTTTTCTGTAACTGTACCTCTTGTGTTCTCTGCCAGCGTCCTATGTGTTTCTCTAACAGTACTCTGTGCATGTTTGATTCTAAAATATAAGGTCTTACACTGACCTCTTGTGTTCTCTGCCAGCGTCCTATGTGTTTCTCTAACAGTACTCTGTGCATGTTTGATTCTAAAATATAAGGTCTTACACTGACCTCTTGTGTTCTCTGCCAGCGTCCTATGTGTTTCTCTAACAGTACTCTGTGCATGTTTGATTCTAAAATATAAGGTCTTACACTGACCTCTTGTGTTCTCTGACAGCGTCCTATGTGTTTCTCTAACAGTACTCTGTGCATGTTTGATTCTAAAATATAAGGTCTTACACTGACCTCTTGTGTTCTCTGACAGCGTCCTATGTGTTTCTCTAACAGTACTCTGTGCATGTTTGATTCTAAAATATAAGGTCTTACACTGACCTCTTGTGTTCTCTGCCAGCGTCCTATGTGTTTCTCTAACAGTACTCTGTGCATGTTTGATTCTAAAATATAAGGTCTTACACTGACCTCTTGTGTTCTCTGCCAGCATCCTATGTGTTTCTCTAACAGTACTCTGTGCATGTTTGATTCTAAAATATAAGGTCTTACACTGACCTCTTGTGTTCTCTGCCAGCGTCCTATGTGTTTTCTCTAACAGTACTCTGTGCATGTTTGATTCTAAAATATAAGGTCTTACACTGACCTCTTGTGTTCTCTGCCAGCGTCCTATGTGTTTCTCTAACAGTACTCTGTGCATGTTTGATTCTAAAATATAAGGTCTTACACTGACCTCTTGTGTTCTCTGCCAGCATCCTATGTGTTTCTCTAACAGTACTCTGTGCATGTTTGATTCTAAAATATAAGGTCTTACACTGACCTCTTGTGTTCTCTGCCAGCATCCTATGTGTTTCTCTAACAGTACTCTGTGCATGTTTGATTCTAAAATATAAGGTCTTACACTGACCTCTTGTGTTCTCTGCCAGCATCCTATGTGTTTCTCTAACAGTACTCTGTGCATGTTTGATTCTAAAATATAAGGTCTTACACTGACCTCTTGTGTTCTCTGACAGCGTCCTATGTGTTTCTCTAACAGTACTCTGTGCATGTTTGATTCTAAAATATAAGGTCTTACACTGACCTCTTGTGTTCTCTGACAGCGTCCTATGTGTTTCTCTAACAGTACTCTGTGCATGTTTGATTCTAAAATATAAGGTCTTACACTGACCTCTTGTGTTCTCTGCCAGCGTCCTATGTGTTTCTCTAACAGTACTCTGTGCATGTTTGATTCTAAAATATAAGGTCTTACACTGACCTCTTGTGTTCTCTGCCAGCGTCCTATGTGTTTCTCTAACAGTACTCTGTGCATGTTTGATTCTAAAATATAAGGTCTTACACTGACCTCTTGTGTTCTCTGCCAGCATCCTATGTGTTTCTCTAACAGTACTCTGTGCATGTTTGATTCTAAAATATAAGGTCTTACACTGACCTCTTGTGTTCTCTGCCAGCATCCTATGTGTTTCTCTAACAGTACTCTGTGCATGTTTGATTCTAAAATATAAGGTCTTACACTGACCTCTTGTGTTCTCTGCCAGCATCCTATGTGTTTCTCTAACAGTACTCTGTGCATGTTTGATTCTAAAATATAAGGTCTTACACTGACCTCTTGTGTTCTCTGACAGCGTCCTATGTGTTTCTCTAACAGTACTCTGTGCATGTTTGATTCTAAAATATAAGGTCTTACACTGACCTCTTGTGTTCTCTGACAGCATCCTATGTGTTTCTCTAACAGTACTCTGTGCATGTTTGATTCTAAAATATAAGGTCTTACACTGACCTCTTGTGTTCTCTGCCAGCGTCCTATGTGTTTCTCTAACAGTACTCTGTGCATGTTTGATTCTAAAATATAAGGTCTTACACTGACCTCTTGTGTTCTCTGACAGCGTCCTATGTGTTTCTCTAACAGTACTCTGTGCATGTTTGATTCTAAAATATAAGGTCTTACACTGACCTCTTGTGTTCTCTGCCAGCATCCTATGTGTTTCTCTAACAGTACTCTGTGCATGTTTGATTCTAAAATATAAGGTCTTACACTGACCTCTTGTGTTCTCTGACAGCGTCCTATGTGTTTCTCTAACAGTACTTTGTGCATGTTTGATTCTAAAATATAAGGTCTTACACTGACCTCTTGTGTTCTCTGACAGCGTCCTATGTGTTTCTCTAACAGTACTCTGTGCATGTTTGATTCTAAAATATAAGGTCTTACACTGACCTCTTGTGTTCTCTGCCAGCGTCCTATGTGTTTCTCTAACAGTACTCTGTGCATGTTTGATTCTAAAATATAAGGTCTTACACTGACCTCTTGTGTTCTCTGCCAGCGTCCTATGTGTTTCTCTAACAGTACTCTGTGCATGTTTGATTCTAAAATATAAGGTCTTACACTGACCTCTTGTGTTCTCTGCCAGCATCCTATGTGTTTCTCTAACAGTACTCTGTGCATGTTTGATTCTAAAATATAAGGTCTTACACTGACCTCTTGTGTTCTCTGCCAGCGTCCTATGTGTTTCTCTAACAGTACTCTGTGCATGTTTGATTCTAAAATATAAGGTCTTACACTGACCTCTTGTGTTCTCTGCCAGCGTCCTATGTGTTTCTCTAACAGTACTCTGTGCATGTTTGATTCTAAAATATAAGGTCTTACACTGACCTCTTGTGTTCTCTGCCAGCATCCTATGTGTTTCTCTAACAGTACTCTGTGCATGTTTGATTCTAAAATATAAGGTCTTACACTGACCTCTTGTGTTCTCTGACAGCATCCTATGTGTTTCTCTAACAGTACTCTGTGCATGATTGATTCTAAAATATAAGGTCTTACACTGACCAACATTGTGGCACTCAGCCACACGTTGAATGGTGTTCTCAGACTTCTAGATCTGTATTAAGGCACAACTGCAACAATCCCAACCACCTCAGGTGCTTGATGTGATGTTCAGTTAATGCCAGTTGTTAGAATTACTTCAGTGGGAGAGGGTTTTGAAATCGTCAGCAGTTCACACCTTTTTATCAGTATCTTCTATAGTATTAATTTAACTCTTTCAGTCCCAGGGGGTTAAGCTTCAGAGGTCCAAGAGGTACCAAAAAAGAGAGATCAACTCAGCACATCTTGTGTTCATTGGTCTTCTAGGTCGGAAGCAATGAACATATGGTATGTTCCTTGGGATTGAAAGAGTTAGTTTTGTTTTCTTTTTGTGAAAGTGAAACCATTTTTAAAAGGGTTGCTTTGAGTATTTGATGGATATATTTGTATAGACTAGTCAGCCCTCAGTCAGTCAACATCACACCAGGCACCTTGACTTCCCAGAACATGACCTGCTACCCATTTCGGCCTGCAAAAGCATAATTACCTTAACAATCATGTACAGTCGGCATCTCAGGCTTAGGTTTGTGAGAGTGCTTTATAAATTCTGGGGTGCCGGGTTCAATTCCCAGCTGCAGGTGATTTGACAGTGGACCGCCTAGCACTGCTTTCGACGGTGATATCGAGGGCTGACCATTCAGAGAGCAATGGCAAACTACAGAACATAAAATTTCCTGGTGCAGTTACAAAACAGCAAACGAAAATACTAGGGTTGGTTCTACAGCATCCTGTAAACGACATGCAGTGAACATTTTAAAAATATGTGTATAGTCATGTACGTTTGTCTTTGGATCAGAAGATCATGGATTTAAGTCTTAAGGAAGCTGGACTTTTTTTTCCCTCCTTTGCTTCTGGGTTGCCTCAGGTATAAATGGGTACCAAGTAGCTGTGACAACATCCCTCACTGTGTAAGTAGCGGTGACAACATCCCTCACTGTGTGAGTAGCGGTGACAACATCCCTCACTGTGAAAGTAGCGGTGACAACATCCCTCACTGTGTAAGTAGCGGTGACAACATCCCTCACTGTGTAAGTAGCGGTGACAACATCCCTCACTGTGTAAGTAGCGGTGACAACATCCCTCACTGTGTGAGTAGCGGTGACAACATCCCTCACTGAGTGCGGATTGGTCTATACAATATAGGTCTAGCCCTATATGCCCAACACGCCTAAAAGAGGGGAAAAGGTTCCTTTAATTTCTTTTACTGTATAATTATGGAAGTTGTTGATTCATGACTTGTTTAGATGTCCACTGTCAGTGTAACTGTCAGCTGTGCTTCAAGTTGTCATTGCCATCAAATCATGGATTTCTAACATTTGATTTCACCTTCCCTTCATTTGGTCTTTCCATGTCCGTTTTTTTCTTCTGCTGCTTGAAACGCTTACAGTGTGGGTGACACAGGGTTAATGGTGAATATCTGTTGTGTGTTGGTGTTGTGGCTGCTTTCTTGTTGTTATTTCTCTCCTGTTTTCTTCCTCGCCCTGTTAGTGCTTTGAGTTGTGTAGATGTTGTTGTTCTACTCATTGCTGTTGTCTTTCCCAGTGTGTTTCCTCGTGACCACCCCTGCATGCATACAAACATGCCGTTAGAGTAATTAATATCCAGGCGTTTTATCGTCGTTCAGTCGGCTATTTTTTTTTTTTTTTCATTCCCAAACTAATCACATTTGTTTACCTGGTACAGTACTCCTTGATATTCAGAGATGTCCCTTAACTCTTTTAGTCCAGGGGGGGAGGTGGGGGGGGGGTTAGCAACAGAAATCTAAGAGGTAGTACAGAGCGATGTAAAATCGGCACATTCATTAGGCTTCTAGATAGGAACCTATGAATGAATGGTGTTTTAGTTGGAACTGAAAGAGTTAATGAATGAATGATGTTTTCATTGGAACTGAAAAAAGTTAATGCTGAAACTTTGTTACATCAAAAATAATATAAACGAAAGGTCTCCCAATCATGTTTTAAAAGTTTATTTTTGATTTAAAAGACATTCTAATACAATAAATGTTTTGGCATTAGGCAGTTATTGCATAAGGAAGTTATTGCAAAATTATTTCACAAAAATCAGTTACAAGAGTTCATAGAATCTCTCTATGGAGAATCTGACTACGTAACTAGAGAGCAATTTCTCATTATTCTCCAGACCCTCATACGCCAACATTAGATTCAATATTTATAAAACAAGAGTTTAAAGAGTTAAGGGTTTACCGTGGCTTTTACTGTCAGAAAGTTATCCAGAAATTATTGTATGCCCAGCATTTCTGTGAGGTTACTTTCATCGAGTGTAAAACACACATGGTTCTCACAATTTTAATAGTATGCCCCCATCCAGTAGTTACTTTAGCTTGCTCTGCCTCAGTTGTTGCCAACACTGAATGAGAGTTCAGTTCCCCCACTTATTAAAAGCGGCCCTTTCAGTCGAGCATGTCATGTCTTTGTAGAATTTTGTTCCAGTAAACTAGGTCTCTGCTTTGCTGAAGTAATGCCTGGTCAAACATTGCAAGATTGTGTTTTTTGTATACTGATAGTTACTGAGATTTCTTTTCAGTAAAAACTATTTCTTCCCATCCTAGCTCTGCTTTTTAAAATAAAACATTGTATGCCTTAGCTTTTCAGAATAAATTATTGCACACAATATTTTACCACTTTCAGATTATTTTGTTTGTTTGTTTAATTATTAGAAATTTTCCGCTTGAATGCCTGTAGTCTTTTTTTTTTTAATGTGTTCCACTAGAATTTCAGTTTTTTCTTGCCTTTCTCTTCTCTGTTGTCTATATCAATTTATTGCCTACTTGTGATTTTAATAAATATTTCTATTGTTGCTTGGTATGTATGATAGCTATTACAGATTGTGTTAGTCTAGTTTTATTGTAACTTTTATTAAATGACATAATAAAGATTGAGACATAAGTAAGGTAGAATGTTAGACATTCTTGTATGCCCACTTGTTAACCCACTAAAAATAACATCTGTTGTGGCTCTTTGTAATTGCAGCCATGTCTACAAAAGAATTATGGCTTGCTATTTCAATATCTGTGTCTGTATTTGAAAGTTTATTGAGACTGTCTAACAGCTTTGTGGTGATGTTTGTTTCTGTAAACCATTGTGGTGTCCACAATTTAAACATGGCTGTCTTGAAGGATATCGTTGACCAGCCTGCGTGGGGAGACAGGGCCAGGTCAAGTCTCTGTAAACCATTGTGGAGTCCACAGTTAAAACATGGCCGTCTTGAAGGATATAGTTAGCCAGCCTGCGTGGGGTCAATAGTTCTCTGTGATCCTCCTGTGTTCCTTGTTCAGTTAATCCTTGTCTTGTTTCCAGTCCTTTCATATCAGAGTGACGTTGTAACTTCTGAAGTACTACCCTTCTATTGGCATTGTTATGTTATCACAGTCGAGGTCATGGCACATTGGACATCCCCATGTAGCTCAGTCATCCAGCGCAGCAGCCACTCCAAGGTACTTGCCATGAGAAGTTGGTTATAATGTCTCCTATCTCAGCCTTGACTGCAGCTCCTGAGCTCTCCATGCAGGGTGACAAAACCCTTCCTTCAGATTACTTTGTAACCGTCAGAAGGCCCATTAAAACAAAATGGTTGATCAGGGTTTCTGGGATTTATACCTGGGTGATTCTCTTCCTGATAGCGACACTTTGCATCACCGGCTGTTAATTGCTCAATGTGCTGTCCTAGCGTTCAGCTGCACTCTCTCGCTGAAGATGGGGACGGAGCGCTTATAGATGTGTCTTGAGTGCTGTGATGTCAATTCCTAATTCAGCATTCATCCTAGCTTCACCGACTCAGGGTGTGGAGTCCTCCATGGCACTGATCATCTACCATCATTCAGACAGTTTATTGACAATGCTGTAACTCTTACAGTTTGGTAGCATAATTTAGTTTGTGAGAGGCTTAATGCTAGCAGAAATCATAACCATTCCTCCCTCTGTTGATCGCTCACGTCTGCTCCAAGCGTACTGAAGGACAGCGGAGGCGAGCATCCAGCCAGCGAGCCTACAAGGCCCATGAAATAATTTGGCCTTGCCCATGCCAGGGCAGCCACAAATGTTTGACCAAATATAGCATGCTAACTGTTTAAGTTGACAGTGGTTTAGTCCATTGATAATGTTATCCTAAACGGTCCTTGATAGAAATAGTTCCTTCACTCCTGCGATAGAGGGGTGATAGAAGAAACTATAGTTCAGGTTGGAAAACACAGTGTTTGTTTTATCACTTGTGATTGTGTTCTTAGGAAAACTGCAGAGTTCCATCTTCCATTTTGATCATATTTTGTTCTTATTATTAAATGAGAAACTGATTTTTTTCTTAATTAAGTTTACTTGATAGAAGATTGGTCCTTAAACATGTTTCTGTCTACTTCTAGATAAGGTTATGTATAGGTAAATTGGTGTCAGAGAGTTAACTATAGACAATGGGTGGTAAAGGTATCAGTGTCAGAGAGTTAACTATAGACAATGGGTGGTAAAGGTATCAGTGTCAGAGAGTTAACTATAGACAATGAGTGATAAAGGTATCAGTGTCAGAGAGTTAACTATAGACAATGGGTGATAAAGGTATCAGTGTCAGAGAGTTAACTATAGACAATGGGTGGTAAAGGTATCAGTGTCAGAGAGTTAACTATAGACAATGGGTGATAAAGGTATCAGTGTCAGAGAGCTAACTATAGACAGTGGGTGATAAAGGTATCAGTGTCAAAGAGTTAACTATAGACAATGGGTGATAAAGGTATCAGTGTCAGAGAGTTAACTATAGACAATGGGTGGTAAAGGTATCAGTGTCAGAGAGTTAACTATAGTATCAGTGTCAGAGAGTTAACTATAGACAATGGGTGATAAAGGTATCAGTGTCAGAGAGTTAACTATAGACAATGGGTGGTAAAGGTATCAGTGTCAGAGAGTTAACTATAGACAATGGGTGGTAAAGATATCAGTGTCAGAGAGTTAACTATAGACAATGGGTGATAAAGGTATCAGTGTCAGAGAGTTAACTATAGTATCAGTATCAGAGAGTTAACTATAGACAATGGGTGATAAAGGTATCAGTGTCAGAGAGCTAACTATAGTATCAGTATCAGAGAGTTAACTATAGTATCAGTATCAGAGAGTTAACTATAGTATCAGTATCAGAGAGTTAACTATAGTATCAGTGTCAGAGAGTTAACTATAGTATCAGTGTCAGAGAGTTAACTATAGTATCAGTGTCAGAGAGTTAACTATAGTATCAGTATCAGAGAGTTAACTATAGTATCAGTGTCAGAGAGTTAACTATAGTATCAGTATCAGAGAGTTAACTATAGTATCAGTGTCAGAGAGTTAACTATAGTATCAGTATCAGAGAGTTAACTATAGTATCAGTATCAGAGAGTTAACTATAGTATCAGAGTCAGAGAGTTAACTATAGTATCAGTGTCAGAGAGTTAACTATAGTATCAGTGTCAGAGAGTTAACTATAGACAATGGGTGGTAAAGGTATCAGTGTCAGAGAGCTAACTATAGTATCAGTGTCAGAGAGTTAACTATAGTATCAGTGTCAGAGAGTTAACTATAGTATCAGTATCAGAGAGTTAACTATAGTATCAGTGTCAGAGAGTTAACTATAGACAATGGGTGGTAAAGGTATCAGTGTCAGAGAGTTAACTATAGTATCAGTGTCAGAGAGTTAACTATAGACAATGGGTGGTAAAGGTATCAGTGTCAGAGAGTTAACTATAGACAATGAGTGGTAAAGGTATCAGTGTCAGAAAGTTAACTATAGTATCAGTGTCAGAGAGTTAACTGTAGACAAGTCTGTGTAGAGGTAAGCTTTAGAGAGTTAAAACTATGTGTAAGGCTGCACAGTGTCAGAGAGTTAACTATAGACGTGGCTCTGTGAGGATGAGCTGTAGAGAGAACTACAAACGTGGGCAGCACATTGTTACAGAGGTAACTGTAGACAATTTGTGTGGTAGACATATTGCTGTATGTTTGAACATGTATTGGGAGGAGCTGATTATTTATGTCAAATGAGTAGCCTGTTAACTGTAGAGACAGCATCTCCACAGACAGAGTATGGAGCTAGAGAATGGTAGATAGGTTTTGTAATAAACCTTGGCTTGACTTGGACTGCACTTTGGCTTACTACCTATTGGATCTCGCCACGGCTCACTCTCTGGATGTTTACTGCTACAAAACTTGCACTACTTTAACGTATAGGGTTGACAACATGAACGCCGCTCAGCTTCTTTGTACATTCTGTCAGTTTATTCTGGTCCATTTATTTCACATGTTCAAACATTATTCACACTTTATCACTCGCGACATATTCGAACATTAACCATTCTCGCGACATAAAGACGACATCTTCAATTACTACAACCGTCTTCTCTGATTTCTCATGATCGACTGACCACGAGTCCA